TTGGTTCTTTTGCTAATATCCTCGTTTCGGATTCTATCACGCAAAGAAACTCCGAGCATAGGAGCATAGCTCCTCTCCATAGCTCGCTGAGTAATTTGTAACTTGTACATACGGGCAACCGTGTAGGTCCACGTTTCGGTTTCATAAGTCTTCATTGGCAACACGAACTGGTTAATAACCTTCGTCTTCATGGCTCATGAATAAGATGAACCGAAAAGAGAACGCTCCACTCTCGACGGTTGGTCGCACTATGCCGGCTCACTAAATATTTTTCACGGTACGTGCTAAGGATCCAAAGTCGACAGAAACACATTACGGGAAAGACTATTCCATTGTACACTAAATCCTTAAACGCGACAACTTCCTTTATGGATTAAAATCAATGATATTTTTTTTACAACACAGGGGGCAAACGAGCATGCAGCTCACCTGATGGTAAGTGATTACCGCCGCCCATGATCACCCACAACACCAACGCCATTGCAGGTGTGCTGCCGGTATTTTAAAAAAGAATATGCCTTTAATATGCGTTTGTAATATGAGTTTTGATATCATGGCGAATTTGCTAGGAATTAACCATGGTGGCTGTTGGCCACCACGTGGTAATCGACCTGATAATATATTGCCAGCAATGAAGACTAGCTGTGTGATATGCAGTCATTCCGTGTGGTCCCGGCATAGAATAGGCCATCTCTTCCTTTCCTGTGGGTGTCGTAAGAGGCAACTAAGGGAGGACGAGGAATGCGCAGTAGAATCCCTCATAAAACATCTCCAAAATCTATGGTTACCAAGCAGCCTGACAAGCGTGGCAACTACTGGAAAAACCCCCAAAACTCCCCAAGGGGGAGGCTTATGTTCAGTAGTGGACAGTTAAAGGCTGATATGATGACGATGATGAATGAAGATTAGTATGCCCATTTACCTACTATGGACGAAGTCGCGGGTAAAAACTAGTTATGTATAATTTCTTATAATAAGTAAAAACATATTTAAGAATATTTGCTGTTGTTTGTGACTTGGTTCGAATGCATTTATAAAATATGATAGTAAATACCTTTTCTAGACATAAATAAATACTGATAATATATCCAGTCCAGACAATTGCGCATTTAATAATAAATTAAGGATGAGATAGACTTGTTAATTGTTGTCCCTGTGCCTGTGTTAATTGAATTGCAAAAAAAAAAATCAAACGTATTGCGTTTAAGAACAGTAATAAAAAATTACAACGCATTGAGTCAAATTATTACATCATGATTAGTCATTTTCAGCGCAATAACAACTTTTTATTTTCAAATATATTATTATAAACTCTTAAATATTTAATAAAAAACAATAAAAACAGAATAAAAAAAGTATAATAGGTAAAGAAAGCAAGCTAAATAAATCTCTTCCTACTTAAAATAATATCAATAGGCGTTTTTTATATTCTCTGTCTAAAACATTTAAAGATCGAATACAACATAAAAAATGTAGCGAATGAAAAAAGAAAAATAAAAAAAAATGTCCTGTTATGTAATAATAAAGTTTTTACCTCGATCGCAACAACCGCCCAGCGCCGCGGCGACTTATAAAATTTTCCATTTAAAACACACATTATTATTATCTTTTTTATAACTAAAAAATACATTTTTACTTATACACCATATGCCTTAAAAACCAACTGTTTCATAACGGACTATGTGCTTTAGGGTGAAAAAAATAAGAACGCTTTTTAATTTGTAACGTTTTCGCGCGTGTGTTGTTTTGTTAGCGGCCATCTTGTTGGTTGCTCTAGTTTATAAACTAGTGAAGTGACACAATTTACTTTAAGTTGTAGTCAAGATCGTTGCGTAATGATTGAATATATTTATAGTAAAATAGCTTGTTAAAGTATTTTAACTTAATTAAGTTAAGCTCTACTTATTTATTACTTGTACAAGATATATTTATGTAATAACTGTATGCGTTTGAATACGTTTTAAGTAATATGTCAAAGCACTAAGATTATATTATATTCCAGATTTGTATTATATATCCTGCAGATATATTCTATTACAAAAAAAAAATATTAAAATCTGAAAGCATATATATATAATTGTAATATTTATTTATTATTAATATCCATATTTTTCCTTTTGGTAGTCTACGGTGGAGACCTATATTCAGCAGTGGACAGATAATGACTGAGATGATATTACTAATTCTCCGTATACTGATTCATGCTTTATTTAGAACTTAAAATATAATATTTGGTGTTAACAAATCCAAAAACTTACTAATTAGTTACTTATTATGATGTTATACAAATAATATGACTAGTTTTATTTACTATAGTTCTTTAATCTCTATTACTGAATATATCGAAATAAGATGAGGAAATAACACAGAAGAATATTCAGGTGTGCTGGACATTGGAAAAATGCCGTTTAAAAACCTAAGGCAGTGTTTTGGTATGGGCACCAGGTCCCTTTTCAGGAAGGCGATAGACAAAATTAAGATCGCCATAATGATCGTCACCCTTCGATAGGAAATGGAGCCTATAAAAGAAGAAGAAGAGCAGGACAACTCGAAATAAAATCGTATATCGAGCTGCCCGGCCTGCTACTACTACCACATATATCTCCCGCACTTTGCACAGAATCCTAATTTCCTTTTATGACGCATAAAGTCCTATGCCCACCAGTGAAATAATATTGAGTTGTTATGGAAAGTGTAAATTGTCAAATTATGTAAATCTTTTCCTTCTAAAATACAAACTTTTTTATTACTATGATACATTAGATCTTAATACTATATCTGTCGTTAACTATCCACTGCTAAACAAAGGCTTCCAGGGGAGTGGTTTCAATAGCGACCATCGTTACCACTGTTTAAGAAATTAGTGGGCGTCAGCTTAATTACCATTCCAAATTTTAAAAGAAACACAATCCAATTTTTAGATCAAAAACTTTTTACGTAAGTAGAAAGGAAAATAATGTTTTTTTTTTATGTTCGTAAAGCAACCAACAACTATTGGAGAAGAAAGGTTGCCAAGTAACAACCACGTTATGTAAATTCTTGCTAGTAGGGTTAACCTTCTACTAGAAACACTGATGATTGGAATATCTGTTTTGGATAATGTCAGAAAGCATTCGGCGCATACGTTTTCCCTTATAACTACTTTTATAAAGTATGCATGTAAACGCATATGTAAGACGTACATATGTCCAGAATTTTAACTTGATACATAGCCTTGATGAATTCAGTATAAAAAACAAGCAGTGGCCCAACGCTTTTGGCGTGTATCGAACGATTATGTGTGATTTGTAAGAAATAGAAATTTAGACTCCATCTAGAGATAATATAAAATAAATATGGTACTCATATCGACGATTTTCGTACAATCTCTTGTACTTTTATTATTCTAACTTTTACCAGCATAATAATCCATTAATGCCTCACTATGGGCCTATATAATTGTTTATATTTATAATAGATGTACTATTGTAACCTTTTGGAGAAAACAATAAAGAGTATCTATCTATCTATGGGACAGTCGTATTTTTTTATAAAAAGTAGTTAGTCGTTTAGGAAGTGTTACTACCCAATATTTCTAAATGAAAAAAAGGTATAAAATTTCAGTTTATACCAAAAATGTTCTAATTAAATAACTATATGAATTAAATATGAGACATTTATTTAATTAATATAGATTATAATACAATCAATATATCGATTATGCATTTCTCGGTGCATCACTAGTGCCGTTATCTCTATTGCGTACGACGATAAAATTTTGAAAAATCCACCACTTTTCCAGCGATAACCCCAGTGGCGCGAGGGAAAAAAAAGCTCCGACGCCGCATCTATAGTCAAGGTTTAATTATGATCACATACGCAAAATATTTTTTTTTGTTCACATTTATAGCATTAATGTGTTTTAAAAATAGGTAAGTTTAAATAAATAAAACATTCTGGAATGTTAATAGAATACAGACAAATGCAATCGTTTATCAGATGGAACGTTAACCTAAAATATATTGAAAAGAGCTAATAGATGATGGTGGCTCAGGACTGTCCTTTATAACAGTTTAAGAGGCCTGATGAGAAATCATCAATGAATGATTAAAATGACGAGCTTATTAATACGACCTATTTTCTTTAGGTCCTTGAATGGATGGATTGAAAAACAAAAGAAAGCAATGAAGTGTTAATAAATAATTTAAAAAATTACCCAAACGAGATGTTTAGTTTATTTATTTAAACTTTAATACCAATAAATTATTGTACAAAAGACAGATTAACGCTATAGACGTTCGCTAGCTATTAATCCGTGGGATATGCAGAAATACTCGATGGCCGATTATATAATAAAATTATATACATATATTTTTTTTATAAAAATTCAATTACATACAAACATTGATAAAATACCTAAACATACTTGTAACGTTGTTTGGTTTCTCTTTCTATTTCCTCTCACTCTTCTGTAAATGTTTCTAATCCAATTTCATTTATTCATTCATTCCTATTCTCGTAGAAATTATCAAAAATTTCAATACCAGTTATGTCTGTCACATAAAGGGTATTTGTAGAAAATTAGTTATTAGTTTCTAACAGTTGCATTGCGGGGGGAAAGGGATTGTTAGCAATGGAGTTTGACAGTCCCATTGCTAGCAATATGCCTTATTAGGTCGACCTCCATGTGGTTCCCCCTGGAAACCATAGTGAACAATTCTTGTTGAATTCGTCACGATGTGCTAACTGACCTACTTCATCCTCAAATATCATCCTTCACTGGTACCCTGCCGGTGTATACCAATAGCGCGGGTGGAGTTACCATTCCATTATCATCCATTAAAAAAAAAACAGTTGCATTGCCTATTTGACTGAATTAATGAATTAAACAGGTAAAGATTGATAAAGCCATTTTGCGTGACTTTATAAATATTTTATTTAAATAAGCAATGACTATGAATGCGGCACTCTCTTATAAATAACCGTCCAGTATTTATTCGCTGTGTTATCACTAGCTCTCGAGTTAGTATGAGTTTTATGTGTACTCATAGAGTTTCTTTGTGCAAGTCTAGATAAAGAACTATTTCTATCTAGACACGACGCGGCTCTGCGCTTGCATCGATACGACGCGACCACACAAATTGTGTTTTTAACTGCATATCTTATTTTAACTGGTTATTACACGCGACTTCGCGTGGAATTTGTGTTATATGAAATAAGTTTTTTTTTTATGCAAGCTGTGCTTATATAACTGTTATACATTAAAGCGCGAGGAGTGTTCTCATGCGTTACTACGTTACGTCAGTGTATAGTGTGATGCCATGGCATCACAGTATATACTGTGCGGTACCCATAGACAACAGTTGCCACTTTCTATCGGATGGACTGGAAGCTTATTTGCTATTTTAAATTTCATAAAACTTAGAATAGCAAACAAACTGACAGTTCGCCTGATGGACAGTGGCAACGGTCGTCTATAGTCACCACAAAGTATATACTGTGATGCTATGACACTCCTCACGCGTTGATATAAGACATATAACACAAATTCTAGGCGAAGGGTCATGTAATAACTCGTTAAAATAAGATATGCAGTTAAAAACACAACCCCTGTAGACATGGGCATAATGGATTAACGTCAATTGTACTGAGTGACATAGAAGACTGAAACGTGGTGGCACACAGCTGGCCGTAAGAGGATGTTTCAAGACCACGTCGGCATACACAGACCATCAGTGTATGCCGGCTGAAACCCAGTGACCCGGAGGTCGTCGCCTCCGGAATAGAAGCCGGGGTAATGGGGTACGCCCCGAGGCCCTTACCTCGCCCGCCCACACATCATCCGGCGGGCAAGAGAAGACCGTGTTGTTGTTGTTGATGTTTCAAGTCCCCCAGCGAGCTATGGAGAGGACTACGCTCGGAACTCCACCGCGTGATAGAATCCGGAAGGTAAAAATCAGGAGAACATTAGTTCTCATAGTTGTAATTATACAAAGTCCAGAGAATCTGCAACTAGAAGAGGCAATTGCTCGATCTATATGAGCAACAAACAACCGATGGGGAAGAAGGGTTCTCGAGTGGCGACCGCGTGCAGGCAAGCGTAGTGTGGGCCGACCCCTCGAGAGTTGGAGTGACGATATCAAGAGTGTTGCAAGAATTTACTGGATGGAAGCGGCGGCATATTATACTTTGTGCTGTTGTTACGCCATAAATTGAAGTTTATATATCCCTCATATTTGGAGGACAATGGATGGATTGTAATGATGATATTTATGGTATAGGGAGAAATCTAAATCATTATGCTTAAATAATCTGGTAGTATTTGTTTTATTGTTACCCTATTCCCTTTGGCCGCAACAGAATAACAGTACTTTGCTCTTTTGAGGGCGAAGCAATAAAGTGAGTTGTGACCATTTTGTATTGCTATTACACACTCACAAACGAAAATTGTATTTAGCTTTATGTATTTTTTTTTATCATTTAATGTTATCTCGCTTTTTTTTTTGTATATGTATGTTGTAATTTGTGTGCTGTAAGTAAGTAATGCAAATAAATTATCTATCTATCTATCTATCTATCTATCTATGCAGACATTAACAAATTATGACATTAAAAAATATTTAAGTTAGTGTAACTTTCAAGTATTTTAAGTTAGACCTTCAGAAATACAACTGTGAAAACCGTATTCAAATTAGCGCAGTCGTTTTAGGGTGATGCCGGAACAAATATACAAATAAACAAAATGTCCAAGAAATATAGTTTTGTTCATATTATTTTTATTAAACATCTTTCATGTGATCAGTACCGTTCCGATATGTATATATATACATACATACATTTTTGGAATATTGGGGTTTCTCTAAATATTGATGGTTGCAAACACGGTCATGGTCCATTTCTATTTCGCCCATACTATACGGATATACATTAATATTATTAACTAGCGGCCCGTCCCGGCGTCGCACGGGTGGACATTTTAAAGATTTCCCTTCACTACTCTGCTCCTATTGATCGTAGCGTGATGAAAAGTACACTATAACCTGCCCAGGAGTATGAAGAATAATTATACCAAGATTCGTTAAAATTCGTCGAGTAGTTTTTGTTTCTATAACGAACATACAGACAGATAGATAAAAATTGTACTGATTGCAATTTTGACATCAGTATCGATCACTAATCACCGCCTGATAGTTATTTTGGAAATATATTTCATGTACAGAATTGACCTCTCTACAGATTTATTATAAGTATAGATAGATAGATTTACATCTGAAGCATCGTTTATAAAAAGGTAATAGGTCTTTTATGGGAATTGGCATAAAATATATTTATTTATTTATTTAACACTTTATTGCATCAATTAAAAAAGAAAAATAACAAATATAGTAAATATTAATGAGAAGTGATACAAAATATAATAAGATATCGAAGGATATTCTGAGGGCCTACCATGAAATGTGTTCCGAAATTTCGGAGCCAAACGAAACACAATTTTGATGTTAAAATTACATAATACATGCCATTTGGAAATAATAAAAATTTTAAAATATTGTTCCTTTGGAATTTTATGATGTATGACGAACGAAATGTTAAGCTCCATTTATTGGTTCGATTTAGGTATAAACAAAAACACGAAATTGAGTCCGAAATTTCGGAATTTCATTTCATGGTAGACCCGCTGGATCTACCTTTTAATATATTTAAAACTGTTATTAAGAAACACTTATTGAACAAAGCCTACATACACATATATTTACACATTAAACGATTACTTGAATGACAAATGTGCATGGTGTCAGTCATGCACGAGCTTTTTAAAGACCATGTAATTTTAGACATAGTGCATTTTTTTATGCAACTTAGAATAGCAAACAAGCTGACGGCCCATCTGATGGAAGACTTTGTACAAAAGTCGTTTGTTTGGGCACCTCTGTCCCATTCGTGTTTCTACCGTGAAGCAGTTGTGTTTGTATGGCTGTATTTCGGTTTGAAAGGTGGGATATGGCAGTGAATTTATAGGTTACAGAGAAATAACACCTTAGTCTTCAGGAATGGCAACGCATGGGGAGTATCATGGGTGAAACAGTATACTCTGTTATGTCCATAGGCACCTCATGTCTATAGGCGACGGTTCCACTTTTCATCAGGTGGGCCGTCAGCTTTTTTGCAATTCTAAGTTGAATAAAACAAAATTGTTTATAAATTGTATTTTCGACCCAAAAACTGCAATATTAAATTAATCCAATTAAGAAATATCAAACCCTTACAACGTATAGTATCGATGTTCCAATTATCCGCCACTAGAGGTCACTAACGGCGACGTATACCGGCGCGGGCGCACTGAAGATAAATGTTTTTGCATCTGGCTTTGATTGGAAAATTCCTATAATAATTGATAATTGACTGGAATTATTTTTAATAATGGGTTATTTTGATTTTTGGTGACTAAAATTTATTTGTATTATTAGATATTGTAATGTATATGTATGTCACTAAATAAATTACTTTTTCTTACTTTCTTTCCTATCACCTACACACCTACACACAAACATGTTTAAAAAAAAAAAACCAAAGCGATTATAATAATCAAATATAAAAAAATAAAATATGTGTATGTATATGTGTATAAAGCACATTTGTAATGTAAATTTTGTAATAATTTATCTATTAGTTGTATTTGCAATAATTATTATGTAGATTATTTTTGTGTAGTTTCTTTAAAAAAATTATATAATATAATTAAATTTCGATAGTGCATATTTTTGTATAAAATAAAAAATGGGCTATCGAGGAATTAAATCTGCTATAAACATTTTATGGGAAACAGCGTGCATTAGAATTTAAAAAATCCAACAAAACTTTACATTAGAAAAGCGAAGCTGAGATTGCGCTAAGAAAAATAAATCAACGGCCCACGCACGCGACCTAGCCGAACGGACTCACACAGATGGAAAGAGACAAAAAAGTTGGAGCAAGAAAAAAAATCGCGCAGCGAATATATCCGAGGCGAACGACCTGCGAAAAATAAGACGAAAACGAGCGCCCGCGCACATGTGCGTTCGCCATTTTTTTCGCGCTGTCCCGTTCTAGCACCAAAAAAGGGCGCGCTCGGTGCGCGTGTGAAAGGGACAGGGGAAAAGAAAGCCCGCGGAAAGAGTTTGCGGTCGTTCGCGCGCGGCTTAATACGGAGCAAAGGCGCTAGAGGCGCTCGTGTCGCTTGGAAAATTTCTTCCTGTTTTGACTTAATGCGTGCGGAGTTTTTTTTTATTATTCCCGCTATAGTGTTTTACTAGCTGTGCTCGCGACTTCGTTCGTCTAGGTATAGGTATTTTTAGCAGTAATATTAGTGAGGAAGTAAGAATAATATTTTAAATACATTATCAGGACTTAACGCGACGAAAAAATTTGTAGATAGATTAATAATTAAATAAGTAAGAATAAGTAACTATTCTATAATTTCTACATTGTATGAAAACATATATAGGTAGTACATAACAATGAAATATATAGTTAAATCAATTATATACCTATAATCAGTAGGGAAAAAATGTTAGGACACTTGATACGACACGACGAATTTATTAACATTATAATAGAAGGTAAGATAGAAAGAAGGAGGGGGAGAGGGAGACCAAGGTATAGTTACATCAGACAGGTCAAGGAAAAAGTTGGTGTTGGGTCGTATCAAGAGGTGAAGAGACTCGCTGAAAATCGTAGTGATTGGCAAGCGCTCCACCGACAAGAGCGCAGCTCTTAAATAGGATAGATAGATAGTCAGATTGGAAGACGTTAATAAAATTTGCATTATTTTGATATAATGTGAAAATGAGTCGAAATTTCAAATTTCGACACAACAAAAATGTCAAATGACAAACGATAAAATACATAAATAGAAGGATGCAGTTTTCGATGGTAATGAATTCATGATCATCATGTCAGGTAATAACTGTTTACTGCTGACCATAAGCTCCCCCTATTGGAGGGTTTTTCCAGTAGTTTCCGCAGTAGTAATGAATTATAATTAATTAAAACTAACACTATATTGTATGTACAAATGGACATAAGACACTATAAATCCATATTAAAAAAATTCACTTGATTTGGAAAAAAAGGAATTACCTGCAAAAATGACACACTTTATTGAAAAAAAAATCCTATCAGTAAATATGTTCCATCTAAATATATATTGTGATTTCAAATACATATTTATTTATTATTTTCTTTGAGAACGAATAGTCATTATATATATTGAAACAGTAATAATAGCATGATTATTGAAATACATTTTCATTCTATCATTCATAAAAATAAATATAATATAATAAATATAATAGGTACCTGACCTGGGTACGATTTAGGTAGGGTTTTTGAAAAATACATTTAGTCAATTGACCGTTTTTAAAACGTTAATATTCGATTGCTCCATCTATGTGTATATAATCCATTATTTAATACCTTTCTATACGACCAATGTGTCAATGTTATATATTCATAGCTAACTTAAACGATACAAAATTAACAAAATAACTAGCTGCATTAATAGATCAAACTCTAACATTTACAATATGATACGCTTCACCATCTTCCTTATAGCCTCATGCATTTCACATGCGATGCAAATTGAGTCTTAACGTCATGCTAATAAAGCCTACAGTGTATGTGAGAGTTCTAATGAATCTGTCTACCAGTTGATTTAAAGGTAGAGAAGAACGTTTTTAATTGAGGCTTTTTCTTGGCATATTTATAGCGTACTTATTAAAGGGAAGTACTTTTTTAATGTTTTTATAAATATACATTTAATATTTTAGTTTTATTTAGGATAAAACAAAAAGATAAATGTATGGAAGAGACTAATATATTAAAGCTGTGAGAAACGAGATAATTAAATTAAGATAGGAAAGGAAAGTAAAACTATATCAACCCTAAATTATAGATATGGATTCAATGATGACTTTTTTATTGTTAGGGCGGCAAACGAATAGACAGTCTACCTGATGGAAAGCGGATACCGTTGCCCATAAACACCTGCAATACGAGAGGAGTTACTTGCGTGGTACTTTTTAAATGTTTATAAGCAAGCTTTGAAATTTCGAATATTATATTGTAAAGGGAAAACTAAAGACGGAAGCTTATTCTACAACCTTTATTTACGAGGTAGAAATGAACGATATGCATGAACAGTAATAATATATTGTGCAACCAAAAAATGAGATAAGTAGTATAATTAATTATAAGTATTGTAATTGGATTTTTATCGTTTTTTATTGAATATAATAAAAAAGGGAGATATTATATTAAAAAAATGTAAAAAGGTAAAAAGTCGCTGAGGCGATGCTAGTAATGAGGTGAGACGTGGAACATAATAATGAATGTAATAATTTTTGTTTTATTTTTTTCAATTCGTTTTTATTATTTTATTTTATGTTTGTCACATCAAAACTTCATCATTTATAAAAGGATATGGAAAATTATTTTTTATTTGGAACGACATACTTTCCGATCGGTTCCATAGAAATATTATCACAAACGATTCAGTACTTTACTTATTAAATCAAAATAACTGCTTT